GACTGGGCAGGAGAGGGAGGTATGGGCGCGCCGTTTGCGTCCCATCCGCGGGTCAGCGCGCCGCCCGGGGGGACGTGGGCCCGCGTGGGGGATGGGGCGAAGTCAGCCACGCGCGCGGGGGCGGGGGCGGGATTTGGGGCGCACAGCAGGAGGGGAGAGATCACGGGAACCGAGGCATGCATGCATGCGGGATCCGCGCAGGGGACCTGGGCATGCGGGGGAACCACGGGGGAAGCGGCGAGCATGCACGCGCGAGCGCGCTCAGCGGCAGCACGCGCCTCGGCCCTGCTACGGTGGAGGGCAAGCTCGGTACGGCCGAGACGAAGACTCGCGGAGGCGACGATGAAGCTAGCAACGTCCGAGGATGCAGCCATGGAGAAGAAGCATCCCGGGCCGTCGGCAGCGACGTCAAAGCAGTCGGGGGCGTCCGTAAGGAGGAAATTGAGGGCGTTTTTGACGAAGAAAGCGTTGATCCGGGGGGAGGGTACTACCGGGGTGATCCAAAAACGGCAAGCGGCTGCCGGGGACAGACGGGCAAGTGGAGATGCAACCATGGTGTGGAAATTGAGCACGACTGAATCGAGGAACGCCGCACCTGGTTTTTTGAAGACGACGCGGCCGGGTTTCCCCAGCCAAAGATCTCGCAGAAGTGCGTCGTAGTCGTTGTTGCGGGGGAGGAGCGTAGCAGACGCGCTCGAGGGAGGAGCCGCCACGGCCGACGCCGGGGCGGCGGCGGACGGCGCGCCGGGAACGCGCCACGGGAGGGAGAGGGTTGAGGAAGCGTCGCCGGAGAGCAGCCAGGAGAGGGACCCGAGGAGGAGAGGGGCATCAGGAGGGGCTCCGCGCGGGCGAGGCGGCGAGCAGTCGCCGGGCGGCGACGAGGGGTCGCGAGCGCCCGTCCCAGGCGAGAGGCGAGCCATCTTCCCTATAGCATGTTTAATATTAGCATGTGGGGTAACTACAAAGCAGATTTATGCTTAATCTGGGATGACATTCCGAGCTCTGATGTTTAAATAAATGCAGCAATATTTCCCATAAAAGGAAAAAAATCCTAAGCGGCGGTTTGATCGCGTTCTACGGTGGACTGGATGGTTCCGGACCGGTCTGGTTTTCACCAGGCAAAGCGGGTCCAAACCACGGTCTGAACCCTGAACCCACGGGTGACGGGTTGAATCCGATAAGACCAAGGCTACTGTCTCGGCCAGACTGAGGACCTCGCGCCGCGTTCCTACGGCCCTCCACCGGCGCCGCCACCCCATCCCTGCCTCTCCGCCTCCGGCTCCCCGCCGCCGCTCAGTCGACCTCCGCGACCGCAGTTCGACCCCAATTTTGCCTGGCATCAAGCGTCGCCGCTGCCAGCCGCTAGGGTTGCGCCGCCTCCCTTCTCCCGCGCTCCAACTTCGTCGTCGGCTCCCCCCACCCCGCAGCGCCTGTTCGGCGACCAGGTAAAGCTCGCCGTCGCTTTGGTTCTACTCATGCGGTTCGCGCTTCGCAGATTTGTTGATTTTGCCCGCCGGACATGCTGCATCTTCGTATCATCATGTAGCTACTTACGGATTAGGGCATGCCGATACAGTTACGAACTCTGCAAACATTGCATGCTTTCATCCGATAGATTGGCTAGTTTTTCTATCGGAAATTACCCTCCATGGCCACACTCCCAGAAGGAGCTCCTCTCCCTTTCATTTTCCCCGTTTCAAGTTGCCATCTCCTTCATGGCTTTGCCCCATTTTTCGGCCATCTCACTACACCCCACATCAGCTATATACTCCAGGAAGAAAAAAAAAGTAGATAGAGAGGACGTCCAGGTCTGTTTGGTGACATGTGCCACCAACCTATTTGTGAGATTTGAATTGCGATACAAACGGGATAAAATCGTTTATACAGTCGAATCGTATGCTAGGGAGACCTATGTGGGGTTGGAATGACCTGAGTGCTACACGATTTGGCAGAGCTCTTATTTCATAGTAGTTGGGACACTCAAATGGTTTCGAATTTACATGTGTCAGAGCACTTACCTTGTGACACCATGTAATGTTCTTAAGATGAGAAACTGGTTGGAATGGTGAATCAGGCAAACCTGGATATGACTTTTAGTGCACTTTTTTTGGGTCATGTACTTGAACTGTTGGCTTTTATTTTATTTTTGTCCTGGTTTTGTTATGCTTTGTAGCATTAAGCATAAATCTGCCAATGCACTCAACTTTAGAAGCTACTACCGTATAGTTGGGACATAATCAAATGCGGAGTACAACATTTCCACACGGTTCAACAATGGATTGATGGAAATGACTAGGAAGGTGATAGCTGGGGCATCACACTGTCAATAAGAAAGTTACTCCAAAGTAAATGAAACAGCGCCTAATAAATTTGATAGAAGTTAATGCTAGCGCACAAATGGGCGTTTAATTTTGACATTGTGCTGTAGCACTAGCTGCCCAGCTACTCACCTCACCTCACCTCAACTCAATACGACAATCAACTCAAAATGCATTGAATACGTTGAGCAGTGCAGATCCCGAAAGTTGTTGATCCATCAAGATTCTAGCTCCACCTGTAGCTAGTTGCAGAATTTCGTGTATGGAGGAGTAGCAGAGAAGCCACCACCGTTGTGCTCCCCGTCCTGCCCTTATTCATTCTTACCTTATGCAGCCACGTCCTTGCCCTACCTCGATTCACCATTCACAGGTCAGTACCATATTCGCAAGGAGCTTCTGGAATCCTATGCTACCCCAAACATAAAATCCTCTTGTATTTGCCACTCCTTTTTTCTTTTCCACTTCTGGTATCGGCTCAAAATCGGTTCTTTCATTAAGCGGGCAACGCTCGTTAGCTCCAAAACCTCATCTCTTATGAAAAGGTTCTCATTTCTTGCGATCAATGCATGCTGCTCTTAAAATCCATGTTCTTGTAATCAATACTAGGTTAGTGTGTTGCTCATTGATTACGAGTCGAAGGACTAGTAGAGGGACTAGTCTATGAGTCGCAATGTGAATGTCGACTAGGATTCTCATGTAGACTACCAAGCCGAATTGAGCTATCGAGAGGCTAGTCGTAGACTAGTCTGGACTAGTCGTGCTCTATGAGTCGCTCGACTCAAATTTGGGAGGGGATAAGTGAGCCAGCTCGCAGCCGTGGGAAGGTAAAATTGGAGAGCTAGGTTTTCAGGCTTGCTCTAGAACGAGCCGCACCTGGGACGAGGCCGCCGCCAGCACCCACTGACCCGACGCCGCCGGCAGCGGTGGCAAGGAGCATTGCTCCGCTCTCCCTCCGCTGGTTCTGTTCCTTCCCTTGCTGGATCTACTCTGCCGTTGAAGGAGGGATGCTGCAGTGAGGGAGAATCAGAGAAGACTAGGGTCATGATGAGCAGGGAGGAGTTTTAGGGTTGTGTGCTGTTACGAGGAAAGAGAGCAGAAGTTGTGTGGCGGCTGTGGTGCATGGAGAAGTGAGTGAGGATAGTAGAATTAGGTCACAGGGGCAATATATAGCTAGTAGATGGGCTTTTGGGCCACAAGGAAGTGCATAGGTAGTGGCCTAATCTCTCAGTCTTTCTTAATTTTCCTTGCAATAATATATGGTACATGCTAAACTGCTTGACTGCTCTGTTTCTTCTATGTCTGCCTCAAGAATAAGGCGGGGTTAGACCTTAAAAACACTGACTACTACTAGGTATTAGTAGTTGAGTACTACATTACCACGTCGACTAGTCCAGCACTAGACTGGACTAGTCACAATTGGTCTATGAGTCTCTACCCTGGAGCGACTCGTCGACTCGTAAACCTTGGTGTTCCTGAGCCTTGCAGAGCATGTGTACTGAGTTTCTCATCCCCTTGTATGTCTGTCATGGTGCATGCTTGTTATGTGTGTCAGTGATCTTTTGGCATTCATTACGACCTGCATTGTCTTGCGCATATGTGCGTTTGGGTATCATAATCTTATTTGATTTACTATCTAGTGCCAAGTTTCCTGCAGAAATTGTGTATTCTCCTGTGTTGTATACTTACTGTTCCTTCAAGTCTTTGTGGTTTTCCTTTGATTCAGAGGCTGGGAACTTTAAAGAACAGGATCCATGGAGGGTGGAGACGCAAGAAATGGTTTGACTGGGACATCACAGACAACGGGAAGTGGGGTTGAGAGCCCAGCAAAGCCACTGCCTCCTTGCTGTGTCAAGGCAAGGGCTGCAGCACCTGAATCTGAGGCGAAGTGCCATGCCACTGTGGTATCGGGATGGTTCACGGAAACCCGCTCACGATGTGGTATGTCCAGCTTGGTGCTCAATTGCATCATCCTTGCTACTCGTACTTGACAACAGAAATACTATAACTTCCTATCATTCTCCAGTTATTTTGTCTAAATTTGATTGCTTCATATATGCAGGTAAAGCGAGCAAACTGCAGTATTATAATAATCCAATGTGGCCAGGTATTTCCCTCACTGGTGCCTTTTTTTTTTCTATTGCTTGATGGTCATACCTGTCATTAGAATAATAATCCACAATAGGAATGTAATGTTAAGTTCTCTACATCCGTTTATGCGACAAAATGCTATTCTGGTAGACACTTGATTACTGGTTGAACAGATGCATGCCTGCATTGATGTTAAGGCATGGTATTAGTGCTGAGTCGATAAAATGGATTTTACTTTTGCTTTTCTGTTTTGGGAAAATAATTTAGCCCGGCTCAGTATTGACAAGAGAAATTCTTACTATTGATAAATATGAGTCTACAACCTCTTCACTTTTGTTTAAACAAATGGTTTTGGTTAATTTTTAGTTATGTTATCAATATACTTACTCAACACACCCCTTTTGACACGGTTATTGTGAAGTATGGTGGACAAAGTTGATCTAACATAGTAACATGTTTACCACAAGCAGGCATTGTGTTCTCTTCATTAGTTTGTTATACCAGTGGCACACTGTTGCCTTTCCATGCTGAAGTGGTGATCTGGGTTTGTGTAATTTTCCTCTTTAGTCATCATCTGATTAGAGAGCATATGCAGCCCAGTGCTACTTGTTGCCTTTTCTTTGTCAATGGTTTTCGTGTCTAATTTCAGTCCTACCAAAACAAAACTCTTATGGATCTTTGTTCTGTTTCATATATCCGGACCTCTGGAATTTTTTATTTTTTATTTGAACATTGAATCATCTGTGTTACCCTAACTGTTTCTTTTACAAATACATACCAGTTCTCTTGCGCATGTCTCTGGCACTAGTTTCATTCCTGACCTCCTTAATGTGTTTATGTTTCACCGGATCATGTGTGTGTTGGTTGTTGGCGCCGCCTCCGCAGCACCGCTCTTCTTCTTCCTCTCAACTCTCTCCCTCTCATGGTTTTGTCTCACACAAGAACACACCAATGAAAAACTCAAAAGAAACACACACGCACACATGCACCAGGGAGAAAGAAACATGGCTTTGTCATGAAGCATTTTCTCCTTGGTGTGTCACACTGGCTACGTTGTTTCTGTGCCCAACCGGCTGCCTTCTTATTCATTTGCTCAACTTATATAGCAGTACAAGAGACTCATGTACGCACAAGCTGGACGCTGGCCACTAATACCATGACCTGCCCACTAACTAATTCCTAGCTACATGCATGCCCACACCCAGCACTTGCGCAACCTCCAACGGCCCCAGAATCTGGCCATGCACTCAACTACCACTACGACTTTTCTCTAGGCCACTAACTAACTCCATGACTTGGCCAGTCTTGCATGCACTAATCAACACTATTAGCTTTCCATGTAAACGTGATCATGTCTCTATGTTGGTACACAGACGCAGCTTTTAGTGTCACATCTCAACTACATGCATGCATGATCTAATGAGCACTAATAACAAGATTAGTCCCAACATTGGTTATACTCAGGAATCTTGACTTCTTGTCCTTAAGTATGTTCAATTGTTTCTGCAAAGATACAATTTGTTTACATGTACTATGCGCTTCAAGCACATTGAATTTTCCAATTGCTCTTTACCATCTCACTTCTCATTTTTCTCGGGCATTTACTTGTGCAATGAAACAAGCCCCACTTCTTGCTCACTCATTGTGATTTCATTTTCCCTACTCAGGAGAGACCCATTCCTTGAAAGTGGATAAGATCCTGTACCAGGGGAAGTCACCATACCAAGAAGTCTTGATTTTTGAGGTTATCTTCATCTATGAACACCCAGAGGGAAAATTGTGTTTGCCTTCTGTTGTGTAACCTGGTTGTTTTTGTATGCAGTCGTTAACCTATGGAAAAGTCCTTGTGCTTGATGGTATTGTACAATTGACTGATAAGGATGAATGTGCCTACCAGGAAATGATTACTCATCTCCCACTCTGTTCAATTCCTTCTCCTAAGAAGGTAATCGTGTGATCTATGTTCCTTCTTATACAGTGAATTATATGACTCTTTTGATCTAATGATTGAAATTGTATTGACGATATTCTGCTGCTATATAGCAGCAGATTTAACCTTTCTTATCTGCATTTCCATTGAAAATGTAGCACTCTAGTCACTTATGTTCTTAGAAACTACATTGCAGGTTTTGGTTATTGGAGGTGGAGATGGTGGTGTACTTCGAGAGATAGCCAGACATGGTTCAGTGGAGTCTATTGATATATGTGAAATTGACCAGCTAGTTATTGATGTACAAAATTCTTCTATGACCTATATGCAGAAATATAACCATGTTACTAAAATTTCTGATATGCATCTTACTGTGTAGGTTTGTAAAGATTTCTTCCCAGACTTATCTGTTGGATTTGAGGATCCTCGTGTTCGACTTCATGTTGGTGATGGTATGTTGATAATCCCACGAGGCCATAACTAGAACAGTATTTGTTGATGTTGTAAATATAGGTGTAGCTTTAAGTTGATGTTGTAAATTTCATACTGGAGTTGTTTCCTTCCAGCTGTGGAGTTCCTAAGAAATTCTCCTGAAGGGACATATGATGCTATTATTGTTGATTCATCAGATCCTATAGGTCAGCTTATGCAACTGTGGCTTCTTTTTTGACAAGTTAAAAGCATGAGTATTTTATCTTTGTTCTTGCCGTTTTTACATTATCTTTTCGGCACTGTCAATTGCAGGGCCTGCTCAGGAACTTGTAGAGAAGCCATTTTTTGAGACAATTGCTAGAGCTTTGAGACCTGGCGGTGTTCTTTGTAATCAAGCTGAGAGTATGTGGTTGCATACACATCTGATTCAGGACATGCTTTCGATCTGCTGTGAGACTTTCAAGGGTTCTGTCCACTATGCCTGGGCAAGTGTCCCAACATATCCTAGGTTTTCACCCTTTTCATATACTCCATCAATTTCTTATGCACGCCTGTTTTGTGGTCTTTACTTAGGTTAATGTTTCATTTTGCAAGCTACTGCACATTCTGTTTCAACTTCTGATTTTTTTCCTTTCGAACAACTTCTGAGTTAAAAAACATACTAACTATCCACCCATATTTTTGCATCATCTGCTCAAAAGTTTCTGTACCACTGTTATGTAAAGTAATTTAATTGCAAATAGAGAAATAAAACTATGTATTGTTATAATTGTACCTGTAATTTTTCTTTGTTTTTTTTTCCATCAAAGTGCTGTTAGGTCAATTTCATTGTTTTGGATCATAATAAAAGCATATGCCATCCCTGTATATATTTTGAACACAAGTTTGCTTATTTATGTTTTGATAGATTTGGCAGTTTGCTATTATATCTCATAGCAACAGCCAAGCCGCATGATGTGTTAAATTTAGCATGCACCTATTAGTATAGACTTAGCCTTTTTATTTGGTTGTAACGCAGTTCATGTATTTATATGCCATGTAGATTAGATATATTAGATGGCATGAAACTATAAAGCTTTTCATTACTGAAACCGTTACCACATAAGACATAACATATATGGGTATGGTTTGTTGTGTTTCCTTGCTTTTTCTTCTTCTTTTGTTAATGCATGCAAGCCGTGCAAATTCCTTATTGTGTTATTCTCAGTTGGGTAGATGCACATACTAGGGACTTGGAATAAGCTTGCTGCATACACATTCTTCTTTCTTTTTTGACATCTCAGCGAGAGGAGTTTAGTAGTGTGGTGGCACATAGGACTTGGTTAGTTCTAATGGTGCACAACTTTTCTGGCTTCATCCTCATGGGTGTCACTATTGTTGGCAGCTAAATTGGTTGCAGCGCTGGGCAATCAATGATAGGATGTTTCAGATTTAGCTCAACTCATGCAAGGAGCGTCTTATTGTGACAATAATATTAGTGAGAAAATATTCCCAACATTATATATACCTTTTACCTGGTTTATGTCGTGCTAGCTGGTTGATGCGAGATGTTGAAATTTTACAGTAGTGACCAATTGTAACCTATATGGACCCGTTTGGCACTGTGGTGGATCAAACATCAAACCCTAAATCTCTTAATGTTTTCTTTATTTTTTGTTGCACCAGTTATTTACTTTGAGCAGTCTTTTATTATTATTGGACAGGTATTGTTGCCATGAATACATTCCTGATTTATATTAAGCAAACAAGAAACCATCCTGATATGCTGTGTTCAGAAACACATCGAGAGACAAGAGATGGAAATATTCGACACGTTGCATATTCCACATCGGCATCAAATAAGAGATTTTGTATTGCTGTTTTGTGAAAGATAAATGCTGTTAGGGATGCTATTTTATCTTGAGAGTTCAGGGCATATTCCTCCTAGAAAGAGAAGTTGGGCCAATTTATCTAACCTTTTAGTTAAACAACTGTTATTAAGTGTTGGTGTCAGCTGCCCTTGTAAATTTGGTACAAAAAATTAAAACATAATATATCTGAATTTCATTGATTAGGCAACCCACTGCTGGCTGCCATTCCTGTTAGAATACGCATTAAGAGCTGCTGGTTGTGAGAAACAAATGTTGCTGAGTTGCAGCTTTAGATGAAGTCTTTGACGTGCTAAATGTTACTCCTTTTGAAATTTACTTGTAATGCAACATTTACTTGATTTGCAGTGGTGCAATTGGGTTTTTGCTATGTGCCAAAGAGGGTCGACCAGTCAACTTCCTGGCACCCATAAATCCAATTGAAAAAATAGAAGGCGCTATGACAGCAGGGAGGGACATCAGATTTTATAATACTGAGGTTTTTTCTGTTTAGAAAGTTACCTATCCTGCCAATTTTACAATATACTGTATTGCTTTTGTCTTGGTATATGCTGTAGTATACTCCTAATAAAATGATGCAGAATTCTAATATTCCTCGAATTTTCTGCTGCAATGATTTCATGCTCTGCAAGTCGCAAGTTACTGTATATACCTCATCTTAATTCTTTAAAAATACTCCACTCCAACTCAGACGTGAGAAATCTGGCATTACGATTCATTGCCATCCATAAGCAGTTAAGCACACTGATTTGTTATTTTGGCTGCTTTCCAGATGCATAGGGCAGCGTTTGTTCTTCCAACCTTTGCAAAGAGAGAGCTAGAAGCATATAGTTGCTCCACTATAGGGGTATGTTTCTTCAATTTGTTAAATGATATAAATCTGCCTGTGTAATGTCTTTACTTGGTGTGTTCTATAATTTGGACAACTTTTTGAAAGCACAATTTACTTTTTCCACCTGCTTTCTGAGACTACCTAGAAAACCATGAAAAGTTACAACTGTACCTCTGTGGCGCTTACCTCTCTTGTATTTCGCGTGGTTTCTTAATTTGGAGAGTTTTCTTTACTGCAACATTTACTTCATCACATCTGAGTTCTATAGGACGACTTGACTTGATGGTTGGTTGTACATTTACCCGCTAATACAATCAGAGCAAACAGTCTAAAAAATTAACTAGTCGCCACATATCCTAGCTTTATTGCTTTCAGGCCTTTGTTAACTTCTGCAAAATATAATATCTCTACCTTAGTACATTGTATATTTATTGATCCCTATTGGCAATGAATGTTCTATGAGCAAGGAGTACAGTATCTTAATATGGGTTATTAAAATGTACTGAGATATAGGAGTAGATACAAAGTCATTATTTCTATGTTTAAAACCCCCTATTCTAGTAAGATGACCATTCTCCCTGCGGTGCCCATATTTACTACTACTAGTAATCTTGAATTAGTTCTCTACCCTATCCAACCTGGTTCTTCCTATGCCAAACAAGTGAATTGTCAAAAAGCTTAACTGGAGATTGTTTGGACCATCACAGGCACAACAAGAGGAAAAATCAGCAGAACCAGCGAAGGTTGCCGTCGTGCCACACAGTGAAATTCTTACCGCTTAGACGAGGGCTCCGGGACTTGTTCAACAGTCCGTGTGCTGGACATCAAGTACTTACTGGTATAGTAGCAACATAATTTGTGTGGGATATGGCAATACGCTTTGTGCGATTGATATGATGGTATGACAAGATTTGTTGGATTGATTCCTGGGAATGGATAAACCAGAGAAAGTTGTGTGGCTACCGTATCATTTTGGGTGTATTTAGTTGGGCACTGCTAGGCGCTGGCCGTCCGGCCCGAGCCTTGCGCCGGTCGCCTCCCAGCTGTACCATGCACCCAGCCGTAAGTAGTAACCGTTGGATTCAGCCTTCGCTCGCCTCGTATGTGTTTTTCATCTCACTCGCCTCGCTTGAAACAACAAATCCCCACTCATCGCTCCCCATCCAGTTCGTTGAAATCACGGTTGCAACTTTTGATCGCCGGTTGCAGCAAATTGTGGCCGCCGTTAGTTGTAGCATCACGGTGTTCAGATGGGTCTTCTCCAGCACCGATGGCAGCTTTGTTGTAGCTTTTCAGTGCGCCCGTTCCAGCATCACCGTGTGGTTGCAGCTTGCCGCCCGGGGTGACCAAATGATGCTAGCACACGGTGACAATTGTCGAAGCATCACGCCATTGGTTCCAGCCCGTGGTCGCAGCACGCCCCGTTGCTGGAAGCGGCTCCCCTGACGTGCGGCTCCTGCCGTTGTGGCGCTGTCATGTGGGCCTGTTCCCCGATGGGTCCATCAGTCAGTGGTCGAACGGCACCCTGCCGAACGGCAGAGGATCCTCGTCCCGTTTCCCGATGGGTCCATCAGTCAGTGGTCGAACGGCACCCTGCCGAACGGCAGAGGATCCTCGTCCCCCGTTGCTGGTTCCAACATTCGCGGCTCCGTTGGTTGCAGCGCCAACCTGTGCAGTCACCGATGTCTTTGCCTGCAGTCCCTGATCTAGACAGATGAGGAAATAAGCTTCCCAAAAATGAAAATCACTGAGCGAAGATTACCCAGCAGATGTCTGACGGCAAGCCTCTAGAAAATCTGATGCCTACCCAAATTAACCGTGCAAGGTTTTGTTGCTCAATTTTTTTTTTTTCGAATAAAGTGGGTTCTTATTCCTTAGAAATAGCGTTACAGTCAGCTAATACAAGCTGTTTGATACTGTCTGGAACCAGGTGCAACTAACAGGCGGTGCTACCTCCAGTTCTCCCTACATTAGCTAGACTACGAGCAACACTATTTTGATTACGATCAATTAAAAGCGGAACAAACCCACGAAGCTGCAGGAGCTTCTTGATTTCCATCATCAGATGTCCATAGGCTGACCAATTAAGCGAATCGTCTGTCAAAGCAGCAATGGCCACTGAATTTGCTGATTGAATTACTATTGGAAGCTCGGAGCGTTGACTAGGGAGTAGCCAGAAAGTAGGCAAATGGCCACAATGGCACAACAGTTTGGCAACTATTCAAACACGAGCCAAATTCCTGTGCACTATCGGCCCCGTTGCCGGCGGTCATCTTAAATAGCCATGCTAGGCACTACACGGCCCGCTGGAGCGGCGCCACACGGCGACATCGTTCCGATGAAGAAGATGAGCTTTGGACAGCTGTGTTTCCGGGTGATTCTGCGTGGGACCCCATTGTCAGCCTGACGTTGTGGATGCGCCTGGATGAGCCATATCCGCCTCATATTTGGGTTGGATATGAGGGATGCCTGTCAGCCCGGGCATTTGAGGTGCCCATCTGGGTCAAAATTTCATGACCGGCCGGGCGGGCCGCCCGGGCGTTTGAGGTCGGTTTGCGGCGCCCAGCTGTAGATGCTCTTATGAGGTCTTTTCTTGTACTTCCTCCGTTTTTATTTACTCCGCCTATTAGGTTTGTCTAAAGTCAAACTTTATATACTTTCAACAAGTTTGTAGAAAAATATATTAACATATACACCACCAAATCAATACCATTGGAGTCATCATTGCATATATTTTCACATCACAAAAATTTGTTACCGTAAATATTTATATTATTTTTTACAAACTTGGTCAAACTTTATAAAATCTGACTTCAGTGAAAGCTAATATCGGGAGTAAATAAAAATAGAGGTAGTAAACACAAGTAAAACGTATATGCATGCCGGTACAATAGTTGTTGGGTATTAAAATTAACAAAGGGACCACATCATGCGTATGGGTTTCGCTCGGCAGCCGCTAGCGTCGAAGAGGGGGTGAGGCTCGGTAGGAGATATCAAGTCCATGCAGTTAGGGCAACTCCAACGTCGTGATCCAAACATATGGGGACTTGATTCGCTTTTTGGTCTGTTTGGGTCGGCTGGAGGCGCGACGTCTGGCCTTGTCCATGCAAATCTGGTTGGTGCACCCAACAGGCTGACCCATTTGGCCTGCCTGGCCGAATTGTTCAATAAACATATTTTGCGCAAATAAAAGCTGAAAACAAACGCCTCTCGGGCATATTTCATGCCGACCCACGCGCCAACGGCCGGCATATATGTCAGCCTAAAATAATCATCCATCGGCCATAATTCATACTGGCATACGTGACAGCGGCCGACATACATGTCAGTCTACAAAAAATTGCCTCTCGGCCATACTTCATGCACCTTGGCCGTAGTTCATGCTAGCACACATGCTAGCATACAAAATAATCGCGTCACGGCCATAGTTCATGTATCTATCTCGAGCATCTTCTTTTGCTTCTTCTCGAACCAAATCCTCTTTCTTGAGACATCTTTCTCAAGTCGACCAACATGATCTCGACTTCCTTCGAGATTAAATTGAGTTTCAACTCGTTTGCTTTTGTCCGAGCATAGCTCTCCTCGACCTCGAGCTTTTTTCTTTTGTATGTCGAAGTAGGTCTTCATTTGCTCCTCTTTCTCTTCGCGTTTCCTCTTCTCCCTTGCTTCCTTTTGGGTCATGTACCCCTTCAAAGTTTCTTGCAAGGCGAGTATCGAAGTGTCACGCTTGTCATACAACTTTTGGTCTCCCCCTCGGCCGCTTCTCAACTTTACTTGGCTCAACGACTGCCACCGCCCTCACCTTTTTTTTGGGTGGCATTGCTCCTTGAACTTTGGGCACTCACAAATCATCGTCCAACAATGGGTCAACGTGAATGTCTTGTTCCCATGTTGGTCCTTGAAGGTTTCCAAAGATTGGTATGTCTACAAATGAAGATGAAAGCAACAATACGCATTCATATGCAATGGAGATGAAAGCATCAACCAACAAGATACACACATATGAACAAGGGGAAGGAATTGCATACCATGTTTTTGATGCCTAGACCACTCACGAGACGACCGGTGATGTTCTGAAGGGTTGCACAAAACTTGTTGCATTCCAATTGGATGAAGTCCCACCTTTTTTGGATTGACACCTCGCCACAGTTACTCTCAAACTTGTAAGGCTCAACCTTCATATGTTCATGAAACTATGTATGGCCCCTAAAAAAAAAGTATGTATTGACCTTCGTCCAAAACGTTGTGCCATTTTTCTCTGTGCCGGTCTCAGGATCTTGTTCAATTTCAATCAAATCTTGGCAAATCAACTTGTCTTCATCCTTGGTGTATCCTCCATCCGGATGCTTTGTTGCCTCCTTTGTGCATTTACTTGTTGAGAGAGCTCATCGTGGAAAAATGGCTCATCGTAGATGTCCACACCGTCTTCTTGCCCTTGGTTGCTGTGACCATCGGTGTCTTCTTCATCGTGGCCGTCCGGGTCTTCTTGCCCTTCAGTGTACTGGCCGCAACCGTCTTGGCTTTGGGTCTTGTTGGCATTGTACGCTTGACCACCCTCGTAGATCACGTCCTGCATGTATTCATTGTAGTAGGCCGGGTCGTCCTGCATTGGCGTCGGGGCCAGCGCATCGTCGACAGACAGCAAGGCTGGGGGTTATGCACATAATCAGACAATGTTCAGATGTTGGTTTTTTGCATGTTTTTGCTCAACCAAGTCTAAATGGAACAAGTATGCACCCGCAAAAATAAATAAATGGAACAAGTATGGAAAATGACGAAAATAGATGCACAGTCAACCAAACGCGTCAGTACTGCCTTCGCGAGACATGCGAACGAATTCGGCAAGTATTCTCAAAAGAAAAAAAAAACGAATTCGGCAAGTTCGCGCGCGGCAATCCGTTATGTGAATGATAGCACGAGGTATTAGCATGGTCTCTCTCTCTCTCTCTCTCTCTCTCTCTCCGAGGACGGATTGGAGTCAGATAACCAACCGCATCGCGTGTAGCACGGCTCCACCAGATGCCCCTTACAAATTGCCGCCCTCGCTCTGCTCGTCCCACGAACTCAGTGCCCTAATCGCTAGCTAGACATTGACCACGAGCGCTCCAGGGCGGGCGCATCTGCGGCTCTCCGGCCCGGTTCCGTCCGTCCACGAGATGGGTATGGCCGTGCTCGGCGAGGCCCAGCGGCAGCGGCGCCGGAGCGTCTACGAGTTCCTGGACGCCACCAGGCCCGCGCGCGGCCAGGCGCTGCGGTGGTGCGAGACGGCGCGGGAGATGCGCAGGGTGGACGGCGACATGAAGGAGGCGCGCCTGCTGCTCCGCGGCGCCCTCTGCTGCGTCAAGGACTACGCATCCGTCTACAGGACGTGGATCGCCATGGAGAAGGAGGGCGGCGGCGTCGGCGTCGCCCGGTGGCTCTTCGAGGAGTGGGGCGCCGTCTGCTCCAAGGACGGCAGCCTCCGCAGCGAGGAGGACGGCGCCACCGCCGACGCGTACGGCGACTACTGGTGCGCCTACCTCGCGTTCGAGCTCGGCCACGGGGACGCCCGGCGCGCGCGCGCCGTCGCGGCACGGGCCGTCAGGGCCTGCCCGCGCGACGCCTCGTTGCGCGACACGGTGGAGCTCCGCCTCCGGGAGGACGAGCAGGAGCGGCAGAGGCGGCGGCGTCGCCCGGGGCTGCTCCGCGGCGCCAGGAAGTGGCTGGTGGACGATCTGCGCGCGTGCTTCAGCTCCATGGGCGAGCAGCGGAGTACCAGCGGCTGCTTACCGCTCTTCTCCCGGCCGCCGCGGGGGTACCGGCGGCTCGTCACCGACGGCGACGAGTCACCGTGATCGATTGCTGCTTAGGGGCTG